TGTGCTCGATAAGCTTTTTGGGACGCTCGAAGTCTTCCATAATACAACTGGTCACGGCACCAAAATGTGGATTGTTTATATGAATATATTTGACTTCTTAATACATGATATAACTAACATAAAGTCCCAAAAACTATGGTCTAAAACGGTCGTTTTATATGATTGTAACGAATTTAAAAACGTGTTCGTAAAGCGAGCCCAAACGCGCATGCGCAAGCAAATACTACGCTTAAAGGTCATATAAGATTAACTATAGTGTCCCTTAACAAACTATGCATAATTCTCGACAGTAGAAGTGATTCAGGGTGTAAGCAGAACGAGCAGTCAGAACTTGATGAAATTCCCACATCTACTGAAGTTCTTTCGGGTAGGAAGGGTATTATTTATATAGCGAATTGTAAAGTTGAAACGGTTCTTTGGTAGCTTTGATTGCGATACCGGCCAGATTGCATTAAATTGTGATAGCTAGAATGTAGAAACATTTTCGAAAAAGGAACCTTGACATTTCAAACGGTTCCTAAATTTATTTTCTTGTTGAGAATGGAAAGTTTTTAAAACTTCCTTAGTTGAGTTGTAGCTATCGTATTGAATGTTAGTATAATTATTAGTTGACTTCCACAGTTCGTTTATTGAATCGTTTGGAGATGTTTTTAGGGCATTGCGTAGAACTGTTTGACATTGAATGAATTTGACTGATGCAGGGAGGATATTTAGACCAAACTTATTACGCGTCAGAAAAACGTTACTTAGTGTTCCAAATATAGGTACTTCCAGCCATTTTCGGATGTACTTGTTCACCGAAGAATCGATATTTTCGACTACCCAAGTTTTAGATATCGTAGCAACAGTAAAATACCGGGATAGCTTCGACAAAACATAACGACTGTAAAGTAAAATTTTGTTTTTTGGGTGAAGAAGTTTAAGATCTATTTCGGACATTAGTTCATCAATGAGGGAAATCACTTTAGATTTATGTTTTTCATTAGTCATGTTAAAGTCGGAATGTCTTCCCAAATACTCAAATGATTCTCCAGTCTTAATCGTTGGTATGAGATCCTTATTGATAAAAAGCTTCGGCAGGTACTGGGCAGATTTTGATAAAACTTTTTTGATGCCAAATGTGCTACATTCATCAACTCTAACAACCATGTTGGACCATTGACACCAGATAGAGAATCGATTAAGGAGATGTTGATTTTCCGACTCTTGACCAGTAATAACCGCAGCATCATCGGCAAACTGAAACCAGTGGATTGGATAAAGAAGTTGGAGGGAGAAACCGAACTGACGGTACTTTTCAGCTTTGATATGCTGAATATATGTGTTGAAACACATATTAAATAGTAGAGGACTAAGACAGTCACCTTGCAATACACCACGACCAACAGGTATAAAATGGGTACGGAACTCAGACGTAATTACGGAAGTTTTAAAATCAGTGTATAAGCTTTTTATTCAATTATTCATGTGATTAGGGATGTGATGATAGCCAAGGACAGATTGGATTAAGTTGTGATGAACTTCTCCAAAAGCGTTTTTGAGGTCAAGTAGTAGGCTTTGAATCAAACCTCACAAACAATATTAACCGCAAGAAAGCTAAATATAAAAACCTAATTAGAGAACTGGATCAAACCTTTACATCTGTTAAATTTATAAATCTTTCTGTCAGTTCGCTATGGGTGTTCGACAAAGAATGTCATACATTCGTAAAAATGCTAAATGAGTTAGGACTGGATAATCAACACCAACAATATTGTATCTGAAAATTATATCTATTGCCATCCGATCAACGTACTACATATTTTGCTGTAGAATTAAAGAATGGACAAATCCCGAACTAATGAACATTTAAAGTAACTATTTCTATAAATAATTAACAATTTTTGTATATAAAATTATAACCATGTATGTATAAGTGATTCAAGTAGTCAATTGTAGGTTACCTCAAGAAGTGAGATTTACAATTGTATATATTTATATATCAATTTTCTATTAATAAAGTTTTCATTATTATTATTATTATTATTATTATTATTATTATTATTATTATTATTATTATTATTATTATTATTATTATTATTATTATTATTATTATTATTATTATTATTATTATTATTATTATTATTATTATTATTATTATTATTATTATTATACCATACCTTTAAAAGTATTTACATCTTGTCTTCGAAACGCAGTATACTCCTTCCTCGCACCTAATAACTTCGTCGAACGCAACATACAAAAAGGCTTCACCCCTAACCTATCTGGCACTCTAGAACATACTGCACAAATGGCTGACATTATTAATAAAGCTCGGATCAGACAACGCTCTGTTGTCATCACCCTACTTGATCTTAAGAATGCCTTCGGCGAAATCCATCACAACCTCATCCAATCCGTACTTGACTACTACCATATCCCTGATCATATAAAATTTGTTATAAAAAGTTTATATACTGATTTCCAAACCTCGATAATTACCTCTGAATTCCGCACTCCTTTTATGACAGTTGGCCGTGGCGTATTGCAAGGAGATTGCCTCAGTTCTCTTCTTTTTAACATGTGCTTCAATACATTCATTCAGCATATCAAGGCTGAAAAGTACCGTCAATTTGGGTTTTCCTTCAAATTACTAAATCCCATCCACTGGTTCCAGTTTGCTGATGACGCGGCTGTAATTACTGGCTAAGAATCCGAAAACCAACATCTATTAAATCGATTTTCTATCTGGTGCCAATGGTCCGATTTGATTATCCGAGTTGACAAATGCAGTACCTTTGGCATTAAAAAAGCGATCACAAAATCAGTCCAGTACTTGCCAAAACTCCTCATCAGGAATCAACTAATACCAAAAGTCACCATTGGAGAATCATTTCAATATTTAGGACGTTACTTTGATTTCCACATGTCGAATGATAGTTCGACTGATAATTTAGTTCAAGATCGCTTAGAATTAATTCTCTGTTGAAGTTCTTCATTGTTCTAGCCTCTATCGTTCTGGGGCTCCCTCGTATATAGTTAGCCTTACGTATCATATATATTAATGAATGGTCACTAATAGATAGGTGTATGACACCAGACTTCAGAATATTTATAGGTGTATTGGTTAGGCATAAATTGACCAGGGTGCTAGATGTAGCAGTAATTCTTGTCGGTTCGTTTATTAATTGTTCTACATTGTATATATCAAGTATTTCTTTTACTTCATTCTTGCTCGGTGACTCGGTCGTTGGGGTAAAATCAACATTTAAATCACCAAGCAGAAAATACTCCAAATTTTCAGCATCGAACGATCCAATCACTTGCTCGAATTCGGCAAAGTAACTAGTAGGTAAATCAGGAGGTCTATACCATGTACTAACTAGGATAGACTTAGATCGTGGTTTCTTAATTTCTACAACTAGATTTTGGAGAGTTTCCTGTTGTAGATTATGTCGTATTTTGTAATTAATATTATTTCTAATGTAAACGCAAATGCCGCCACCGTGACGGCCATTTGTACGTCGATCTCTTCGAATGATTTCAAAATTTGGTATATGGATTTCATTGTCATTAATTGATGAATCAAGTTTGGTCTCATTAATACATAATATGTCTACTTTATTATTACTCATAAATACTCGTAATTCATCTATATCGGCAAATAAACTATTTATATTCAAACATGCCATAGACATGCCCCAATGAAATGGTATTTTTTCTAAATTATATATATATATATATAAATATATATATATATATATATATATATATATATATATATATATATATATATATATATATATATATATATATATATATATATATATATATATGATATAATTTGATATATGATATATGAGATATTTGGATAATTTGATTCGTTTGACGGTTATACCCCGTTCATAAGAATTTTTAGCTTGTCGGGGCAAACAGACCGCTAGACATCCGAAACGTTTCTGTGTTAGTATATGTTTTGCTCGATTGACCCATCTGACCTTTGCGCAAAAAATTATATACCCACTTTTACACACATCTGAAGTCTTGCCGACAATGTTTACGAATATATATAATATTTTCTTGCCTAGAAACTATAAGTCATGGTTACAAAGCTCCTCTGCTGTATAGAAGCTTACAAAATGGAGGTATCAGCCATATTTCGAAGAAGAAGCACCAACTTATTGTTGTTATTTTGGTCAAATTTTGCGTGCGGCGTCACATTTCAAAGGCTAAAATACGTGAAAATTCACCTAAAATACATGGCTATACCGAACGGGGAATAAATCGTGCTGGTTTGTTCTAAATTTGGCTTAGAAATGCAATGTCTTGCCAAGCAAAATCAGATTGAACAATTTGCATATGTTCAGTATTTCGTCTGAAAATGGAATTTATTGAGGTCTGCTTGACGTATTTGTGCTGTTTCACAATACAATTCCTAACTAAAATGCTTCATATTTAATTATTGCGATACCGAATTGCGGTTAAGTCCAGATATTCTAAACTATATCTTGGAAATTAGGTTTTAACAAACTAAAACAGATTAAACACTTTGAATTGTAGCGCTAGGTTAAGAGCTAGGGCCATTTTTTCGCTAACTCCCATACAAAACATGAGAGTGACGGCGGCCATATTTTTACAAAATAAATACTAAGTCCGAGCACTCAATGCGCGTGCGTGACCATTATTTCTCGCCATGTGCCTCAGACTAAGTAAAATACGCTATCAGGCGGCAGACAGTTTATGTGGTATTCACAAAGATTCGGCTTGTATTTCGCTATAATGTCAGATGTTTTCCATACACTCGCCATATAGTAGTTCGAATTGCAGGTACTCATAACGTTATTCGGTTTCGGAATTTGCTGATCAGAAATCGAATGATTATGCGCATCCGCGCTCCAAGGACTTGGGCCAGTTGGCATGAAGACCAACGGCTCATCACAGTTGTATCTGATATGTGCTTTGACCAATTAACCGCAAACATTATTGTCGTTTCATTAGTTTCTTGACTCACTGGACTCTCAGTCATATTTTGCACTTGGAGAGTCTCTTTGTTTATTTTAATGGAATTTGTTTATTTGATGGAATATGTTAAATGTCCAGTCGTAGCTGCTAACTGTTTTTTCTAGGCCAGCAAGTAAATTTAGCAGCGCGTGAAGCCTTGTCCGCAGGCATCGTCTTTAGATTGGCAGTCAAAATTTGCTAGCACGCAAAATAATTGTAAAGTATGTGAACCACGAGATGTCTGTGGAGAAGGCTACAGCGCGTGGTAAACAATTTCGAGTTATATATAATGGATGTCTGAATTTCAGACACCTTTGTATTCTATTGCGAGCTATCCTGAACAGCTCGCAAAAGAATACAAGGTTGTCTGAAATTCAGACACTCAAATTTAACATGAGGGTGTCTGAAATTCAGACACCTATATAACTCGCAATAGAACATAAGTGTGTCTGAAATTCAGACACCTATATAACTTGCAATGGAATAAAAGGGTGTCTGAATTTCAGACACCTATATAACTTGCAATAGAATATAAGGGTGTCTGAATTTCAGACACCCATATATACTTCTTTCACGAGCTATATGGGTGTCTGAATTTCAGACACTCCTATAACTATATCTTGCATGATCGTTTATTCAATTTCCAGCGATAGGGGTGTCTGAAACTCAGACACGCATATAACTCGCAATAAAATATATGGGTGGCTGAAATTCAGACATTCCTATAACTATATCTTGCATGATCGTTTATTCAATTTCCAGCGATAGGGGTGTCTGAAATTCAGACACGCACATAACTCGCAATAGAATATATGGGTGCCTGAAATTCAGACACCCATATATACTTTTATTGCGAGCTATATGGGTGTCTGAATTTCAGACACTCCTATAACTATATCTTGCATGATCGTTTATTCAATTTCCAGTGATAGGTGTGTCTGAAATTCAGACACCCCTATATATTACACCAGTTATTCTATTGCACATGCATTTTAGCAGACAGTTCATTTTTCTTGTTTAAAAGTTTGGTATTGTGCGTTAAAATGAACACTTATCAGAATATTCGGCGAAAAATAGCTAAAGCATGAAAAATAGGGTTTTTTCTACCAATTTTTTTCGATTTTGATTGATTTTGGAGGTAGACTGAACGCACTCGAAATTATAGAAAGATAACATAAACGTAAGCCATAAGAATTGCTGTCAGCAAGAATCAAGATTATATATCAATACAATTTCGAAACAAGTTCGCAGGAAATCGCGTTTTTCTTTGAAATTTGGGGCAAAATCACGATGATTTGGCAATTATACCGTATTTTGGCAGAAAAATGAGAAATTTCAGAAAAAAGTGGAAATTTTAGTCAAAATTCGAAGTTTGGAATTGTTCAAAATTCTTTGGAACGCGTTGATTATTCTGCTGGTCGCCCGGTTAAAAAACCTGCAGTATTTGACGGACGTAGTTCGTGGGAGGCATATGTGACCCAGTTTGAAATTGAGGCGGAGATTAACCAGTGGGACGGTCCAGATAAAGCCGCCTTTCTGGGAACAAGTCTTAGAGGTCCAGTGCTAACGGTCTTATGTGTTCATTACACATCATTACTGGCTGCGTTAGAAAGCCGTTTTGGAAATAAGAGGCAGTCTGAGCTGCATAGAATGAAGCTACGAAATCGTGTCAGACGTCGAGATGAAACTTTGCCGGAGTTGGCAGAAGACATCGAAAGACTTACCCGTCTTGCGTACCCTGAAGCCCCTATTGAAGTTCTAGAAACTTTAACGAAGGATCAGTTCATCGATGCTTTGAACGATAATGAAATGCGTTTAAGAGTTGCTCAAACTAGACCTACAACTCTTAGAGCCGCGCTCTGAATCGCTTTGGAAATTGAATCGTTCAGCTTGGCCGCACAAAGAAGATTTAGGCCAGTGAGAACAGTGCATGAGACTCCAACTAAAACGAACAGGGAATGTTTTGTGGACCCCCAAGAGGAAACGTTGAAAAGGAATAGCGAGTTTTTGACGGAGTTGAAGAAAATGACCTCGGAGCTTCGTGAAGTAGTTAGAAGCGTGAATCGAAGAGGAAGAAATCAAGATGGATCACAGCCGAGAGGAAAAAGAAAGTGTTGGACATGTGGTTCGAAATATCATCTCCAACGGGATTGTCGGTTGTACAATGCCGAGAAGAAGCGTACTGAGTCGGAAAACGAGCAAGAGTCGGGTCAAAGGAGTGGGCCCCGACGGTAAGAGAAGACACCCCACGGAATAAGTCGAATGGACAGAGACTTGTACAAAGAAAAGATGGACTTTGTGTGGAAGGGAAGCTCGAAGGCAAAGTGATGCAGATGATTCTAGACACTGGAAGTAACATCTCAATTGTTACCCCGCAACTGTTACGGAACCTTGCGAAAGATTTGTCGTGTGTAGAACCTGTTCCAAACTGTTTAAAATCTGTAACTGGGGAAAAGTTGAATCTGTTGGGGGACCATTACCCTTAAATTTGCAATTGGCAACCGAGAACTTTTGCAGTCATTTTACGTGGCAGATATCGGTGAATCGTGTATTCTGGGTTTGGACCTTCTGCAGCAACAAAGGTGTCAACTCAACATTACGGTTGGAATATTATCAATGGGAAATGTTCAAGTCCATCTTTTGTATCCTTTGACGTACGATTTGAACATGCTTTGTTATCGGGTGATAGCACTTGAAGATATCAATATTCAATCACATACCGAGGCTGTCATTCCTGCGAAAGTGGTTGATTATACTGGCAAGAATGGGTGGGGAATCATTGAACCCGCTGACGAGGAATCTAGTCCTGGAGTTTTCATTGGTAAAGTTTTGACGAAATTAACAAACGAACCCACAATAGTTCCAATACGAATGGTTAACGTGACGGAGGAAACGCGTAAAGTTTTAGCTGGAACTGACCTGGCAAAATGTGAGACAGTAAGCTTCGTTGTTTGTCCTGACTTTGAGAATTGTTTCGAAGAATCCACAACCCGAAACGAAATACCGAAACATCTAGCGGAACTTTACGAAAGTAGTACAAAAGATTTGGTGATGAGGACCAGAGAAATAAAGTCCTGTTGTGCGAAAATGCTACTGTGTTCTCCAGCAACTCTTCCGATTTTGAAAGAACTGATATCGTGAAACATCAGATAATAACTGGTTCAGCAAAACCAATTAAGCAGCCTCCAAGACGGCTACCCCTTGCGAAAAGAGACGTGGCTTGCCAGGCGGTAGACAAGATGCTGAAGGGCGGAGTTATTGAAACTTCAACAAGCCCTTGGTCCTCAACCGTTGTATTGGTCGCGAAAAAGAATGGTACCCTTAGGTTCTGTGTAGACTATCGGAAGTTGAACGATGCGACAATTAAAGATTCTTACCCCCTGCCCAAGATTGATGACACTCTCGATGCGTTAGGTGGTTCGCAATGGTTTTCTATGTTGGATCTAAAGTCTGGTTTTGGCAAGTTGCTATGGATCCCGCAGACGAAGAAAAAACGGCATTCAGCATTAGCGGGAGTGTATGGCATTTTCGAGTAATGCCATTTGGTTTGTGCAACGCTCCCGCCACTTTCGAGCGATTAATGGATCATGTACTTGCCGGATTAACCTGGAACGTTTGTCTTGTATATCTTGATGATATAATCGTTCATGGCAGAACCTTCTCTGAGCAGCTGGAAAACCTACGGAAAGTGTTCACGTATTTGAGGAAAGCTAATCTGAAACTTTCTCCGGAGAAATGTAATCTGTTTCGCCGTGAAGTTAAATACTTGGGACATATCATCAGTTGTAAGGGCGTGGGAACAGGTCCCGCGAACATCAATAGTGTTAAGGACTGGCCTCGTCCAACGTACCTGGCTGAAATGAGAAGTTTCTTTGGATTGTGTTCCTACTACCGAACGTTTATTCGAAATTTCGCTGAGATTGCAAATCCGCTCACTCGCCTAACACAAAAGGATGTACAGTTCGTATGTGACTCTGAGGCCGAGAACGCGTTCCAACAGATGAAATGTTAGTTGACAAATACTCCTGTCTTATCCTTTTTATGTGACGAAGGAACATTGATATTCGATACAGATGAAGCGGTGTCG